TTAATCCTGTTTTAATTACATAATACGTATATAAAAAATTTTTGTTATTCTTAATATTACCTAATAATGACCATACCTGTTCAGAAGTTGCAGAATTAGGTGGAATTGATAAAAGGCGACATGCAAATTCACTTAAATTTGGGGTTGCACTTAGCATAGTACGCCAGTATCTTAGTGGAAATTTTGTAAAACTTGGATTTTTAATAGATGACGCAGAAAATGGGCCCTCTTGATTTGCATAATTTAACCATTCATCAATAAATTGGTCTTGATTACGATCAGGATAAAAAGTGCAAAAAAGACCATACGCAGCTTCTTGAATATATAAAAGCCATGTCGAATTTAATCCTTTACCATGATGATACGGATGAAGAAACCAGGTAATTAAAAAAACAGGATTATAGATTTTTTGCCAACGATTATCAATTTCTATTATTAACGAATTTTTAAAATTGTTATTAGTAAATGAGCTCTTATCAACAATTCCACGAAGCCATGCCCATGACGCAGCTACTTGACCTAATGTTGCTTTTTCTGTTTCAAGAATTTTTATAACATAGTCACATGGTTTTAACAACTTATAAAACAATTCAAGTTTCGACCAAAATTTACTATTATTAATAATATCAATTATAATATCACTTTCTTGTGAATGTGATATTAAATAAGATGTATGAATAAGAGCGATAACCTAAAAATAAATATAGATTAGATATATATATATGTATACATAGTACGTATATGTATTAATTATACATATATTATTTAATATATATACATACTTTTAAATTTGTTTTAATCTCTAAAATCATTTTGGCTGATTTTGTAAATGTTATCCAATGGGCAATGCATGGATATTGAGGTTTTAATGTCGCATTACCAGCCAATTCTCTTAATTTGGACAATGCAAGATTGGAATTTTGAAAATGATTAACAATTACTAGCATATTTTTAATAACTGGTGTAAAAAATGTTGAATCAACTATTTTTTTAACTAATAAGTTGGTTTGGTGTACCATACATGGAATCGTTAAAACTCTACTGCCTATATCATGATCCTAAATATAATATTATATAGAAGAATATTAATATATATAATATATAAAACATTTATAGGCATGTTACTTTGATTGCTTCGATATCTTAAAAAAATAAAGTTGCTTGATACTGTATATCCGAATATTAGTTTAAATAATTAAAATATTTACCTCACACATAAGACATTGTGCTTTTTTAAAATTGGGTCCACTATCTGAAATAAAAGCTATCCATTTATTTAATCCAAGACTTATTCCAATTTCCTTATATATAGCAAATATATTATTACCCGTATGATGCTGATCAGAGTAATTATCTATTTTTAAAATTTGACTCTCGTGCTTTTCATTTGTTATAATAAAATTTAACATGCTATTTTTTGACACATTGGTCTATCCATCACCAGATAGTGTTAAAAACATAGAATCTGATATAAAATGTTGAATGCTGCATTGAATATTTTCGTGTATTTTATCTAAAATATCTGTATTTAGCCATTTGCGCGATGGAAGTTTATACTCAGATTTTAGTATATGAAATAGTTTAATTACTTCAGGGTCTTCCACGAACGATAATAGTGCATTGGCTGAAATTAATGCTTTAAGTAATTGACGATTAATAGATGCTTTTTCTCCAATGAACAAAACTGAAGTATTTTTAGCCTTTGATAAATCATTACAGTTATCGTTATAATTATCAACTTGAAGTAATAAATCATTATCAACTTGAGATAATAGATCATTATCATTATCAACTTGATTGTTTTTTTGTAAGTTTTTAGTTTTTTTAGTATTGGTGTTTTTTAAAATATTTTCGATATTATCACGTTCGTCTTGATGAATTTCTTCACATATTACTAATAAATGTTTAGCCATTTTTGAAGATTCCCCGGGACAGTTTTGTTTGCAAAAATTACATTGTGCTAAATAGTGTAAACTGTTTAATTTTTTACCTTTACTAAACTATTGCCAAATTGGTTTTGTTTTTCTTTCTAATTTACGTTGAGGTGGTATTTGAATACTAGCGATGCAAGACTTTTTTAAAAACCTGGATGTTATATTGCTAATATTTATTATTTTTCTATAAACAATTAAAATGGACGCAAAATTTTTTTGACTCAGGTGTTATTTTGTTAATATTTATTGTTTTTTTGTAAACAATTAAAGCAGAAGCCAGTCAAAATCTCAAGAAAAGCTGAAATTCTGACAGGTTCACATTAGGTTAGCATTAACTGAAGTCTGGTCAGAAATTCAGTTGTCAGGATTGTTTGATGGGAAGATTTGTTGGGATATTGACCCAAACAATTACATATGTATGCAGTTATTAAAATGCCTGCATAATAATTTTTAACAATTACTAAAGTTACTAACTATTATTAACTATTATTAATTAATTAATAATTATTTAGTTATTAACTAAAAACTTAGTAGTTCCATCACTAGTCCCAATAATCCATAATCGTTAATTTTCTTTAGTGTTGGATTTCCTTTGAGTTTTTTTGATATGGACATTCGATCTTGTGGTTTAAATAATTCTAGATACTTGTGGCTATAATATGCATTTAGTATCTTATTAATATAGTTGATTTTACTTTGTATTTGGTTCTTTCCATATTCTAGTAATTTTTTGTATTTTTCAAATTGGAGTATTTTTTTTCGCGTTGTAGTTTCTACTTGTTTGGGATGTACTAAATATTCTTGGTGTGTCATTGCTGGTATATGTTCTCTAATTTCTTCTTCGTCTATTAAACTTTCTATATCTTCAAAGCAGTATTTTGCTTGGTCAGTATTAGTATACACTTGTTTTAGGTTACTGTAATTTTCACAGTTTTCATAGTATTTATGTATCTCGTTAAAGATATAGTCTAATGGTTGTTTAATCATTGGTATTAATGGTAACTGTATTACTTCGTCATAAGTATACCATTTCCATTCTGATGCATTTTCTGGTTCAGTTTGCTTTAATGTTATCCTGATATTTACTAGGTAAATAAATACCATTCGTTGTATTTTATGAGTTGCTTTGTCTGGTGGGCAGTATTTTTCTGCTACCCATTCTTGTGAGCTTATTTTAAACTCGGTCCATACTTTGATTAATTGTGATTTTTCTAGTAGTACATTTGATTCTTCTAATGTTTCTTGTATTGCTGTTATTTCTTCAGATTCACATAGTCTTCCTAATTCGTCTAATTTATCTTTTCCTCCTATTCCTTGGTAGTTTCTATAAAATACTTTTAAAGAGTTATTTTTTTGTGATAGTGCTATTTGATATTCTTTTGCAGAGTGGTATCTAAATAGTGCTGTTTGAACTATATATTAGATTGGTAGGTTGAGGTGATAAATTAGTGATTGTGCTATGAATTCTAAGTTTTTGTATATAAAACAGGTGTCATAGTATGTTTCTTGGTTTTCATTGATTATTTCTCTATAATCTATTATATTGTTGAAGTTATTGCAAGTAACACATTTCTAAAGTATTCTATACTCTGAATCTTTAATTATTGGTAATTGTTCTATTTTTGTTTAGTTGTTTAATAGTATATTTTATTAATTCAATATCTTTGAGTTCCTTTTTAAATTGTTTTATTTCTTGTTGTAAGGTTTTAGATTTCTTTAGTTTATATGCTTCAGTCTGTACATATTTTCTATAGTTTTAGTCAATTTGGTTACATTAGTAACAGTGTTGTAGTTCTATTACACTATTAGTTTTTTTGATTTTTTTTTTAAAATATTCTTTTGTGAGATATCTTTTGCACTTTGGGCAATGTTTCTTTTTGTTATTTGTTTCTGAGATTGGTTTTG